TCACATAGGTCAGGACAGCTCCTGCCAGCTACAAGGGTGTACTCGGGTCATAGGTCACCTTGCCACAATTCGATCAGGCACCAATGTCTTAAAAGTATGACAGCAGCTCAACCCCCATCATGGGTTCAAGGCCTCTTAAAGTTAGTGACACTTTCACACTCATTGAACTGGGGCTTGGCAGTGTATAAGCTGCTTAGGGGTCTGTTTTAGTCACCTAGGTACACACTTGTGTGATGTGTCAGCCTTAATAGGTGCTTGCTAAAGCACTTGCCCCAACAGTATGTTAAAGGCTACACGGCATATCTTTGTCTTTGGAACCATAAATAACAAGTGTAAAAACTGAACCAAAGACTGAAAATGGGGCCGAGTTAAGTTTGAGAGGTGGCATTAGGGTCAGATTTATGGGCAGGGATAGGGCTATTGTTAAGGTGTGGTGGATTAATTTAGTTAAGGATATGGGATCCGGCTCGAGGCCAGGTTATGCACTCTGCCACTTAGCATTTGCCCAGACACATACCGCCCAGTATGGCCTCTTCACTTTTTTCTCACTTTCACTTCTGATGTATAAGCAGCTGGCAAGCCTTTAGTGCAGCCCCAGAATGATGCAAATGGGCCTTTTCACTGATGTACAGTGCAGCGCTAATGTGAGTGCACTCCAATAGGACAAATAGAGCTAAGCGAATGTGCAGTGCAAAACATGTGAATTGTGCCTTGCACATGAAAGATGTTACCTCGGTTCTGTTTAATTTATGGTCGTGCACGTTTTAATCCAACAAGTGTCACATTATTTCAAGCTCTCTCTTTCAACATTGCACAAATTCAGAGGTAACCTACACTGTAACAATCCGGCGTTAAGAAAACGGATTTCAATCCAATAATCCTATTCACTAAGATATATGATTAAATCTAGGAATACAAATTTCAGGGTATTGTACGATTTTAAGGAGACATTCATTTATTCAACTTCAAAATAAGTGATTCACTGTGTTAACCTTTACGGTCTGCAAACTAATAGACTACATTGGTCATGGCACGGACAGTAGTTTAATGATTTAGAGTAAGTCATCCTTAAGCCCAGGGGGATGTACTCTATAAAGCCCTGTCTGGTCTATTGGCAGATGTCACCTCTATGCGTACCATGGAATATTGTGCACGGCAAATCTTTGCTGCACACAAAGGAATGTAATGTTTATTTAGTGCACGGTCAAAGAGGGAACATCTAAACCAATGTAAGCAACTGTTGCAAATGCTTTTGTGGTGGTTATACACGCCTGTAATCCAGCACTGTGCAGGCAAGCTGAGGCCGACCACAATTGTTGTGAAACTCCCTTCCCGTGCACAATCGAGGTGCCATACCTTGACTAACCAAGAGAATGCAGTAAAGAGGACTTCACCTGTTTCATCCGTATGAGTGTTGCCCCTTAAGCCTTAATACACGTGGGTTTTCTCCAGGAGCTCTGTTTTCCTTCCACATGTAAACACTCATTCATTGGCCGATAACACCTGAACATACGGAGGATCGCAGAGTTTGGGGTGGAATGTGAAGCCAGCTCACCGCGGCTGCCTTGCCCGCTCGTCTGTGAGAATCCATAGCCGAACCACTTAATAAGACATCGCCAAAAGCATATTTTACGGAGACTATTTGACTGTGATAAGATTTTGATTACCGTGTACGTTCTGCTGATTAATGAATTCTGAGATTGTTTCCTCCATACCATGTCGCGACGCCACGTGTGTGTGCGGTTTCACAATTAAGCACAGTAGGGGGTGCCAAGATTCTTTGAGATCTGTCAGGGCATACAAGGACAACTATAGGTGTTTATAAATAGTGGTATATACAGCAGCTTGTACGTGTAACAACCCTTGCAGGGGTTTAGTGCAAAGTGCTGCATCTGTGAATCATGCACCCATGGCACGGGATCGTCTATCCATTGATGAAAGTAGTACCTGTACTTGTTTACTACCGAAGAATGATGGGCTAAGTCAACCATGGCCAAGATTTGAATTCCCAACCTTTCGATTGTGCTAGAGGCGATCGAGCTACAGTATCAGAGAGACTGATTTCCTTGCTGTGGTTGTTCCACCTGATGAAGATTGCTTGCGTTGCGATCGAAACGTCGTGATTTGTTTTATTTTATTTCTACCTACGTGAGTTTACCGAAAGAACCGAAAAGCATGATTCCCTTGGGTTGAGACAATGTTAAAACGGAATACAGTACCTGTAACGTGTGGTCTATCTAAAGTGTGGACACACCACACGGTGGGATAGGGTGGTCAGAACCAAGCTTAATTGGTCCTCATTAACAGGACTTCTCCAAACAGTCCTATCAAGGCTGAAAATATGTCTGCATGTGTTCCAGAGTTTGTGTGTTTGTCTTTGTTTAATAGTGTATTGTGTGCTCCAGAGCCTGCGTGTTTGGGGTATGCGTGTGGGGCAGAGCGGTAGTGTAGCGGTTAGGGCGCTGCACTGCGAACCCGAGTTCAATGAGTTAAATTCCCACTCATGGCCAATGCCAGTGACGATTATCTGTACCGGTCCTGAGCCTCACCTAAGTTGTCTTAGCCTCATATGAGTTCCTGGTCCGTTGTGTACACATCGCCACTGGAGAGACAAAGGCGGCCGAGCGTGGTGCTGTCCACCCACCCCGCCGTGTGTCGTTCCGGTCTTCATAGATGCTCGATAACAAAACTTGCCACAACAGTCTGTTAAGGCTATATATGGTATCTTTGTCTTTGGTATACATGCGGCTGAAAAACGTGCTCATTCACAACCACAAAACCGACACCACACCCTTGTTAAATACAGCTGCACTGCTAAGCCAAACGTTCTGCTGCTGCTGCTGCATAATATTTCCAGAGGAATTAACAGCTGAGCAAACGCAATGTGGCTGCCATCACAGCCATGGCGCAGGAGTAGAAGAGGGCACGTTATGTTGCGGCATGAATCCGGCACCATTGCGCACCAGCGCATCGTCACGTACCACTGGACTTTATTCAGGAAGCATGCAGAGGATGCATTGTTAACATCGTTTAATAAGGCAAATTCATATAGGAAGATGTATGCACACAAGCCTGTGCGTTGCATTAAGCATGCAACTTGTCTAAGGTAGCAAGTTTTTTTGGTCTTAATAGTTGCGTTATGCATACCTTAACATTCGGTAATATAAGGTCACGTGTTAAATTACTGAATTATCACGATGCTACTGCACTTAACCACATTGTGCCATACAATAACGTTGTATTCTCGAAAAACCGAGATATTTTGCCACGTGGATCACGCCCACTCAGGTAGGAACAGGTTTGACCTGTAAACATTAAAACTGCCAACATGAAAATCTAGATGACTAAGTCGCATTTTCGTGCTCCAGTGGACTTACAGATTGTTTCACTCGTACTGTACCTCTCACATAAAGAACTTTCTGCTGCTCCACCCAAAAAACACGCCAGGGATATGACACAAACCACAATTCTCGACACGCTGCAGGAACTCTTGTCGCGAATTTTGATCTCTCTGCTCTCATAATGCTAGACCTGCACTTTACAATGTGCCCCTCTGGATATGCAACATGATTTCTCTGCGACATCCGTGGACCTCCACTCTGTGTTCTGCAGACCTCACTTCTCCGACGACTGATACTCCTGTTCCAAATACGAACCTCTTCGTCCCAACCACAAACTTCTGTTGCGACCGAGGGCCTGTGCGTTTCAACTACGGAAATGCCCCCAGCGTGGCAAATCTCAACTTCAACCACAGAAACTTATTTCAAACACGCATCGTTATTCTCTATGGACCCCTGGTGTACGTGTGTATACTACCTGTCGACCCATACGGGTTTACTCCGTATTCTTGTAAGAGAAATTGAGTTTTCATGTCCATACGGCATACAGCCATTTCAATACGGGCAAATCATATTTTTAATCATGGGAACTACTTTGCCAGTAGCAAAATATGATAATTGGGTTTTCCCCTTTTATCTGGCAACAAAACAGGTGTTAAGTTGTTAAAACACCAAACTGAAACGTTTTACAAGGAATCATGTCTGCATTAACCGCAATACTTGTGGTCAAAATGCAAACAAAAAACATACTCTGATAATATATGCATTGTCTTTGAAACTGATTGGTCCACACCAGAGACAGCTTTCTGTTGAGCCTCCATTGCCTTTAAACTGGTTTAACACCGTTTTAGACGAGGCTCAAAAGAAAGATGTCTCTGGTGTGGACCAATCAGTTTCAAAGACAATGCATATATTATCAGAGTATGTTTTTGTTTGCAATTTGACCACAAGTATTGTGGTTAATGCAGACATGATTCCTTGTAAAAGGTTTCAGTTTGGTGTTATAACAACTTAACACCTGTTCTGTTGCCAGTGACTTTACCGAAAGAACCAGAGAGTATGGATTAAAAGGGGAAACCCTATTCTCAATCATTTTTTTGTCTATTTGTTTGTGTTTCTCCCTTGCGATGGGACTTTGTAGGATGTACGTTGAGAGTTATGAGGACACAGGGTGACCAAAAAGGTCTGAATTGGTCTGAAATAAGGTAGGCACTGATAAAGGGTTGACAGGTATGCGTGTGTATGTGTCTTTTCCACCGTACGTAGCCAACCGTGCTAATCGCACCACATGCGTCATTAAAACCGCATTTCTCATTCACCCAAACACGGACATCACATTTACAACTCTGAACATCTCTCTGCACCGCAGATCTCCCTCGTTCAGCCATTTGACCGCTCTGCTCAAAAGCAAAGAACTTCCCGCTCCAATCGCCCTCTTTTACAAAACACAGGCTTCGGTTACGTCTACGGGACACCCTCCAGAAGAAAAAAAAAACCGCTCTTCTTCAACCATGGACCTCTGTGCTCTCTACACACGGACGAGTCACGCCGACCCACCAAGACCTTCACTGGGTCCTGAACACCATAACGCGTGCTCCAGTGAGAGCATCACCGCCAATGCCACCGATCAACAGCAGCACCCATCATCGCCATTGATCTCACCTTGGGCATCTCCCCCGCTTGTCAGCACTCCGATCGCCCGTCCAGCCCCAGAGAGGCTCTCCAGGAACTTCTTATCGCTGGGAGCCATCTTCTCGAATGTCCTTCCTATGAACACGAAGCGGCTACGACTGCAATGCTCTGAATGAACGCCGTGACGGCACTGTGGTTAATCGAGCGAACCTAATGCCTACATGAAAACCAAACAACAACAAATACCGTGTGATAGCGCACCAGACGGCTTTTCTCTCTCTCTCTCTCGCTGGCCTAATGAGAAGATGGGAGAGACGAACGCGAAGAGGTTGCGGCCGCAAACAAAGGAGGTTGCGTTGCTCCGATCCGCAGCGTGGACGCACCGAGCGGCCACATCAGCTGTCTGCGGCTGTGACGTCACACTCAGCGTGCCCTCTGCTGGCTGACGTCGCGGGATGCGCACACATCTTGGGACCAAAAGATGTCTTGTGACCCCCGATTAATTGACCCCCCCCCCATCGTTTTTTTCTCCCGAATGCATATCTATTTCTGTTTTAAATCACCCTTACTGAAGAAGAAGAACAAAAACCGCAATACGTTTTAGATATTCTTGGTTCTTTCGGTAAATATTCATATTTTTAGGTAAAGTCACGTAGGTAAAAAATTAAAGTCACGTAGAAAGGGATATAATAAAATAGTAAAAAATAAAACCAATTAAATTCTCAAGACGTTTCGATTGCGACACAAGCAATCATCATCAGGTGTGAAACCCACAGCAAGAAAATGTTTTGAAAAAAGTGGTGGTGAAAAAAAATATTCTTGCTGTGGTTTTCACACCTGATGATGATTGCTTGTGTCGCAATCGAAACGTTTTGAGAATTTTATTGGTTTTATTTTTTACTATTTTATTATATCCCTTCTACATGACTCTACCGAAATAACCAAGAATATGAATCCCTGCAGTCACGAAAGCTTTCAAACGTTTTAGATAATTAAATCTGGGGTCACTGGACATCTGGACCAACCTTTAGTTTAAGGAGAGCCGGGTTGTGGTGATGGTGGTTGATGGTGGTGTTGGTGGGGAGTGGTGGTGTAGCGGTGAGTGCGCTGCGCTACGAACTCCTCACGGCCAACACCAGTGACGAATTATCTCAACCGGTCATGGGCTTCCCCTAGGTCAACTCAGCCTCAAATGAATACCTGGTCCGGTGTATAAACATCGCCATTAGAGAGACAAAGGCGGTCGGGCGTGGTGCTTGCCACTCACTCCCTCGTGTACCGTTCCGACCTTCATAGATGCTCACTAACGGCACTTGCTACTACAGTCTGTTAAATACTATATGGGGGATATTTGTCTTTATTACATAATAGGATTGGGAGAGAGTGACAATTTGGGGGAAGCCTTCATACAGTAGTAGATTGATCATGGCTGATGATGGTGGTGGGTTTGGCATGCAGAAAATACGAATACTGTACAGCATAAAGTCTGGTGAAAGTGTCTTCTTGCTCATCATGAATGACCATTGCGTGCATCATAATCAGTGCTTGTTGCTAGCTCATTTGGAAACCCTATGGAAAAACGTGTTTCACAGCCCTCGAAATGATCCATTCCTAGTAATGTGACAGACGAGATTTTGTCAGTGAGACGACATAAAAAAGAGATTTAGTGAGATGAAAGGTGTGATATGTAGTGAAATTATAAGATACAGAGATGGCATCAGATGAGAGTAGGTGCATGTAGTGAAGATAGAGATGTAGAATGTAGAAATTATAGATACAAATTTTAGTGGTTTAGAGACAGTAAGGCAACGTGGATATAGATATATTCAGACGAGAATTGAGAAGTATGGTAGGATATTTCCCAGATGAGTTAAGGGATATGAAAAATATATTCTTCAGCCACAGGAGACTGAAGACTAATTCAGATGAGATGGGAGAGATGATATGAGCTAGATGTATTGAGATGAGATAAGAGAGATATGTATCCATATGGTAAGATAAAGGTAGCATATGAGATGCAACACGATGGCAAATGTATTGTGTTAAAAGACAGGAGAGATACGTTTTCAAAAGAGATATGACAGACAGCAAAGAGGTATTTGGAGAATGGCAAGTGGATACTCTACTCACCATGCCATCGAATATCGTTAGTTACAAGGATTGAGTCCCCACCCTCAGCGGTGACCACCTCCAGTGGATCACATGACTGCTAAACAAGCTTCATAACGTATTTATATTACAGAGTTATATCAAATACATAACGTTTAATACTTAACGTAATAAAATAATATTCACCGTGTTATTATAATCATTTGATGTTTAAATCGATTAGGCTGTGAATTTGAAAATATTTTAGTGCATCGCTACATTTTCCCTAATCTGCGGCCCCTGATCTACTTGGGGCCCTACAATGTTACTTTGTTAATGCCTAGCATCGCCACTGACCATAACTACCACCGTCATCAACACCATGGACTGTGAGATGGTGGTTTTAGTGGTGGAATATTTACATATCCATTCCCGCATAGGCAAACTACTTTTGACTTCCCACGAAATTGTGCTCGTTATATAAACTTTTTGAGGAATTATGGGTTACTTGCTGCTGACCTGGAGGTAAAAACGTTTATAAAACACGAAATAGCATTCATGTATTATGTTGAACTTCTTTTTCCACCATACGTTGCCAACGGTGCTAATGGGAGATGTAATTCATCAGCATTCCAGAGGCATGAGGGACAAGAGGGTAAGCACCATAATAACAATGGGTAAAAACACAGCAGAAATAGAACATTATTGGCAAGTGGTATACTCCATGCATGAAAATTGTATTTGGGAGCACGTGTAGGAGTGGTTATCTATTAGAGCATAAAGAGTGGTTTAACATAACATGGTGTGATATGGAAGGCAACGACATATTTTTCTTCCAAATTCTATGATATTCTATTATCGGCTTTAGGTAATGATATGAAAACATTCTATTTTGGAACTCTCCCAGCTAGCATTGTAACCACCCCTTGCAACCACCCCTTTTTAGAGAATGGCCCCAGGTGTACGTTTTTTTTTCTTCACATAACATCATTGAATGAGCAAAACTGCTTCTGTCTGTTGGTAGAATGTGGAAACTAAGGCTAATTGTTCTGGTGATTTTTGCAAAATAGTGTGCAAGTGAAATCCAGATAGCATTGATGATTTCGACAATAACCTAAATTAATCGTGGTAAAATATTAATTATCCCACCGAATTAACTATGAAAACAAAATTCATGAATTTTGGCCCACGTCCTAACTTGGTGGAAACCACAGCCCAGACATTATATTTTCCCAACAGAGATAATAAATGTGCCTGATGATTTTTCAAAGTTTATAGAGACCATCAACTTTCCATACTTGGGAACTTAGTTTAGTCATGGGTGATCAAACCCCAGATTAAAACCGAGGAAGAATTTAGGCAATGCTGGCTCAGTACTCTGGCTGAGTGCTCTGATCTTGATGCAACTGTTGTACTTGATTAATCAATTTTCAAGGGTTTAATTTCATCCTGGAATAACAATTTTTCTCCTAAAGCCACTCATTCACAGCACACTTCACATCGTTGTTATAAAAAAAAATCCAGCTCGTGATTATTTTAGTGTGGAAATATGTGCAAGCTACTGCGAACCTGGTTTTCTATGGATTTTCTCCAAACCTTAGAATATTTTTGTCCAGATGTGTATTCATTTTACAGATTGTTACAATGTTTAGTTAATAAACAAACTAGATAATGTCATCTTTTTGTCCTGTAAAATAGGTCTAATAAATTGCTATAAAGTTTGGTAAATCTTAAAATAATCAACCTTTAAACGAACATAGATTATTTGTTTTCAAAGACTATTCAATTACCTCTTACTATAGTGAATGGAGGACAATACAGTATATTTGGGATGGCTAACATTGTACCACTATTGAGACAGGCTGTTTAGTCAATTGAGTCTCAACTAGTTTCAGACCTCGTGTTTGGCATTCAAACACTTTTTTTTTCCACTACAAAACATATCACTCGTGTTAAGAATCGGTGATAGACTATGACATCAACTATTAACAACCGTAAAAAGTTATCACATAATCAATGCAATTAGACTTTAACCTTGCTAGTAACAGCACAGCCCCGTGTTAATGGATACACGTAGCTTCTTTGTACTGATGTTTCGTCAATCTGCATTAATGAAAAGGGAATCAATGTTCATGGATGGCCTCTGGGAGTTAGTCCAATAAAGTCAAGATAATAAACAAACAAACATTGGATATCACATCCAAGTCAGTGTCCCCATGCTCAGTGTGCATTGGGTGGTGCTCATCTCCATTCGTGGCCTTGAGCCAGAGATGCGAATCCCACACTCCTATGCTGGGTCCAGTCTCCCCGGAGCATCACAACTATCATGATACCCCGCAAGGCGGTATTTGGCTGAGCTGACATGCTAAGTGGGATTGCAACTCACGACATTTTGATTTCGAGTTTTCCACTAATCACAGCCCCATCCAGCCAATTTATGAGAACGAACGGATTGTTGTTACAAATACGCATATAATTTTCACATCCTGTAATTGTGTACATTGCATTAACACTGTTTAGTCAACAGCGTATAATGTTTCATGCTAAAACAATGCATTTGTTTTTATTCGTGTGATTTTCGCAGGTTCACAATACTGTACTGCAGTGCCATATAATAATCTCAATGCATTCAAATGATCTCAGAAAGGATTGTACGCGAAATGTCTTTCATTTCGCTCAGTAATACATGAAGTGCAGTATTCATGTAAGTGATCAGAAACTACAGCAGAATACCAATTCTCGTGTCGGCCAGTCACGCTGGCAACAATTTCCTCTGCCCAGCCCATTTAAAACGTTAGACATTAATCGGACATAAGCAGATTTAAATCATGCAATCATTTGACTTGCACTTACAAGCTAAAGTGCACACATGTGTGGGCTGGTACAGTACATTTTGGCAGAACAGTGGCAGCTTGTATACAGTACAGTAGGTACAGTATAGCAAACACAGAAACGTTCTGTGTTGGTCCTTTACATTTTCAAAGCAATGTGGGCAACGGATTCACATAAAATACAAGACTAGGTAGTCTCCCTGCGAACGCAAACAATGGATGGTGCTCATAATCATCAGCGGCCCTCAATCAGTGATGGGCAGTCCACATTCCCAAATTGGACTTGTGTCTCCATGTAGATAGATAGATAGATCGTTTATTGTCATTGTCACCAGTACAACGAAATTTAAAATGCTCACCAGTCAGGGCATCATTCATAAATTTAAATTAAATAAAACAAGAAAATAAAAATACAATTAAATGAAAGATAATCAATTTATACTATATACACGATACACAAATGGTGTCCCCTAAAGAACAAGATAGAACCACAATATATTATTCAGATAGAATGTGACATTTCGATTTAAAGCGTTCGTGAATGCAGGGATTCATCTTCTTGGTTTTACCGAAAGAACCAAGAAGAAGAATGTGACATTGTTTACAGATTTTTCAAATCTCTCAACAAAAATCACATATCCCAGTATTCCCACCGTTCCTCAGATGACGACGAAGTTCCAGATGTCACACTTGAAGAATCTAACTTCCCTCATAGTATTTGCGACTAGGTTGAAACATAATTAGCAAACCTATTTTTAAATGTTTATATGGATATGAAATACCGCAATCATAGAATGATGCCTTAATAATTCTATGAAACAAGTCATAAAGTTGACTTGAAGTATGTGCGGATGTCATGGTCCAAACGTACGGTACTCAATTGGAATATACATAACAATCACTGCCTCCTCCTGCAAAGATTTGGCAGGACTTTAAAAAGAGTCGTGATACACAGTGAGGGTAAAATAAGCGTTATACTGTAATAATTAAAGGTGGCAGAATTTAAATGAAGTGCTTACGTAAATGTATGTATATTTAACTTATTTCACACCGTACGTGCTAATCGAAGGTACGGGTCAAGGACAATAGACTACACACACAACGTACCCACTGCAATGTTGCAACCCTCTGGAAAGTCCAGAGAATCATGGGAATTATACATCTCCACATCCACCAGGATCTCAGTAACGTCGCATGCCACTGCTTGAATTCGCTAAGCCCTTTCAACCCACGCGGTTAACCGTGAACAATACAACTTCAACGTGATTATGATGCATGGAAAGCCAAATGGAGTTCAAAAGGAGTCACAAACACCCATGTGAAAGACCCGACGAAGAAGATCCCTGGCTTCGATCTTTGCTAATCTTATGAGCTACAACCATTAAACAGCATCCATACGAACCGTGGCAGATACGGATACTTAATGCACAAAATGGAACATTAACAAATCTCTGGTGTGCGATTGTGATCACCCAGAACAGACCATAGAACATATAACGACTCAATGCCCGATTCATCATCACAGCGATGCACTCTACTTCTCTTGCATGATGCAGCAATAATAATTATCAGGCTCAAACACCTCATGGAAAATTATAGTTGTTGCTCTACTTTAACATCAGCCTTACGAGAAAGACAGAGTAAGCCACAAGGTGGCGCCTCATGTCTATAATTCTCCCACATTCTCAAATATGCAAGTGAATGCTGAATGTAGGCTAGCTGCGATCTTATACGGACACCAACAAGCGCAATCCTCACCAAAACCACCGTCAATCATGATCACTACTATGCTCACCATCATCACTTATATTCTCAACAAATACTTAGATCCCCAATATAGTCTTTTAACAGACTGTTAGGGCAAGTGCTGTTACCGAGCACCTATGAAGGTCGGAACGGCACACCAGGAGGTCAGTGGCCAACACCACTCCCCGAGTGGCAATGCAGGGTGCTTCAAAAAAATGTTAACACTAATATTGGGACTATCGTTTTTTTGTAACATGATAACAAATGTACGTTAATAGCTTCATAGATTTGACCCGAAAGTCACACCACGAAGTGCGTTTTTCTTATGTGAGCCGAGTGAGGTGTGGGGTGCATAGGACTGAGCTATGACTATGCTTTTTACGTTGCAGGCCACTTGAGTACATGAATACAGCTTTCCACTGATGCTCGACCAGGGTTATCGGTAGAAAGTGAAATCTGAAACGGAACTAGGCCACCTTCAACGGCATGTCAACAGATCGCGAGAGTTGATTCACCACACTGGTCAGTGCCGGTTGACGGAATGAGGCATTCTTCCATGAGTGGATAGAAAAAGAGCTGTACAGGTACACTATTTGTCATTGTTAGAGATGAGATGTCATAAAAAAAATTATACGGTATATCGAACAATCTTTTTTTTTAATACAAATGTAGTGACTGTGATTGTCACTGTGTGGTGCCGGGCTTACGAAGCCACGGCGGATAATGTGCTGACATTATGTATAGCCAGCTTACTGGGCGTAGTACCAGCCCTAGCGAGGCTTGGGTGAGCGCTGGTCAGCGCGGAGGCACCGCGAGCAGTGTGCGTTGCGGGCTCCCGTTGCGGGCTCCCGGTGAGGGAGCGAGAGGGAGCGTCAGCCAGCCAGGGCTACGTTGGGGCATGATACGCTGGTTGACCTGCTGACACGTGACCGGATGATATTGGATGGGAGACACCGGTGGACGGGGGCCGCTGGGCGGTCATGTGGTCTAAAAGAGCTCTCGGGAGCCTTCGAGAAAGAGCTCGAGAGATCTGGAAGGTGGGCGGGGCGAAGGGCAGAGCCAGCCCCACCCCAGGGGCATATAACGGGGGCCCGGTGAGGAGCTCGGGGTTCTTCGTGTGCTGGTGTGAAGAAGATCCACGTCGGGGAGAAGAAGCCTCGAGCCACGCGGTCCGGGACCCAGCAGCTTGTGGTCCGGGCCGGGATAGCGAACCGTGTCTAGTTCTGCCGTAGCGTGGTTAGATGGGCATTCGAGACCCGAGTGTAGATTGAGTGATGTTGCGTTAAGTTTACGTCACAATACTGTACACTAAAATATCGGGCGTGAGAGGGAACTTAAGTTATTGTTCGCTGTGTTTTATTTATTAACTATTTACAGGATATAGATATTCAAAAGCAATGCTTATTATCGAATACAATTATTTATCATAAAATACCAAAAACTGAAAATCAAAAGGAACAAGCCCATGCAGTAAACATTCAATTTTGGGCCAACATTGGCGTGTGTTTGGAACTATTGGACAAACGTTGGCCCAATGTTCCATGTTTATTGGGCAGTTGCAGAGTCAACACTCAACGTCTACTTTCCAATATTAACGTTATGCGCCTGTCAACGACGTCTGCTGGCTCCTTGAAGCAGCCGCATGTGAGCATTTTATGCCAGTCTTAGAACGCTGTATATCTCACTGCGCCGTATGGGGAGTCATATGCCTCAGCGTGAGTTGCTACTCTGGAGACAAAGAGATCCGTTGATCGAGGTTCGCTCCCTGTGTTAACGACATTGGATGTGATTTTTCACGAAAGGGTGTGAATGAAGGCTTGCCATTTTCCACTCCAGCTCGGCCTCGGCAGACGAGCGCCGAAATGAGAACGCATCAAGTGGACAGCTGTGAGAAACGGAAGCGTGGAGCCGACAAGAATCGCGAAGGTGTCCGAGGGGATCGTGGGATATTTTGTATATTTCGGACTTCGTGTGAGAAATACAGCATCGTAAAGCAAAACACGCACGTTCCGATGTCAAAACGCCAACTTGTAACCAAGACGACATCGAAGTTACCGATTATTCAACGTATTTTTCCCCCCATTCCGAGTAATTGGCAATGGCATCTCTCGTGTTTGAAGAGGTGAGCGTTCACTGGTTGTTTGCCTGGCTTCGCACGCACGAAGCCGCAGCCTTAAAAGCGAAGCGCGGAACTCCGCGTGCTCACTCCCTCCCACCCGAGCGCAATCTCTAGCCACAATTCACACAACCCTTACGTTTTGCAGACTGATAGGCTGGTGAATAGCTGAACGTACATATAGACGCATTGACAGACACACAGGCGGACAGACGGACACACGGTCAGATTGATTAACATACAGGTGGACAGATAGATGTACGCGCAATGGATATTCACGCATGCAGGTTATCTCAAGATCTGACTGGTGGACACATATGTGGACAAGAGTATTTATAGACATGTAGGAGGGTGGATATACACAGAAAAATTACACGTTTGGTGAGAAGAGGAGACTTACACAGACGGGCACTCAATATATTCAGACAGCTGGCCAGATAGACAAATACAGCCGAACTCAGACAGGTGGACAGGGAGAAAAGTCGCGAGTTAGTAAGTGTGGCATATTGCCAGACACAGACAATCATAAGAATAACCTTTAATTTATAGTTAACCAGCTAACTATAAAGAAAACCCATATACACAGTCTACCTAGCAGAAATACAGTCCACAAGGGCAGACAGTAAGAAGAGTCTGTCTAACCAAGACTCATAGACCGTTTGCTAAGGTAGACAGCAGTATAGATAACTTAGACCTCCTACACGACCTTCATATATACATACATTCATAAAGACAGCCTACTCAACAGCATCTAGACAATTTACAAATACTGCAGCAGACAGTATACCGAAGTCATACAAACAGACAGCCTACATAACAGCCACATCGACAGCTAGACTGCATGACAATCATATCATACAGAGAGGCAAACAAATCACGCAGTCATATAGGACATTCGAACAAGGCAGTAAAGACATAGCAATCATATAGACAGCCGCCATGCCCAACATCAGCCTCAGCAGCAGAGCGTGGCCCTCACCCTCCTGCTGTGCCAATAAATTAGACAACGCATCCATCCCCACGGCGGATCCTTACCAGGGTTCGGGGTACCTAATCTACCAGGTGAGAACCACTGTGATATCGCCATTAATGTATCCATGAGACCTTCAATAATTTTCAAGAGGGTGCTGAATTGAAATGGTTGTAAAACGCGTGTTGCGTAATTGATGTATTATTTATTTGCCAAGAGGTTGTTGTAGGGAAACTGTAATCTTGTATCAGCGCGTGCCATGAACTTACCAGCCAACCTTGCAATATACGAAAGTTTCACAGGATGAATGGAATCGGACGGACTGTTATCCTCTCAAAATTCGAAACATACTGGTGGCAGATTGAACGTGCTCAGCTGACCACAAACCGCGATCCCTCGAGGTGGACAGGGCCAATGGAGAGCTGCAGTAAAACAAAAGAGGCTGCAGAGAGAGAAAAGTTGAGCTGCACATCGACAAGCGGAGATAGAATGGGAAAAGCAGAGCTGCACAGGTAAAAGCAGAGCTGTAGAGGGGAAACGGAGATGCCGAGTAAAAAATGGATGCGCGGAGGGAAAACGGAGCTGCAGAAAAAAAAGTGGAGCTGCAAAGGGAAAATTGGAGCCGCAGAGCTGCAGGGAAAATCGGAAGTAAAAATCATTTCATTTTACAATACTGTATATATGTGTTTATGTTATACAAACTAGTTGTGGTAACTTAGTTTGTTGAGCTTAAAAGTAAATTATTTTTTTTACTTGAATAACATAGACCCATTTGGCAAATGTGCCATTTGGATTTTAGAAAACATCGTCTCGTATAAACCAGATATTTGTTTGCAGGTTAATGAAGTAACGAGTCAAATGCCTTGCTTCCCGTGTAATGGAGGCGTGGGGCTAATTCCTCCAAAAATCCGCAGCCACGTTTCTGTTTGCGCATTATATCACAATGAAAATCTTCGTTTAGACTGGAGGAATCCGATGAGATTCGAAGACCGTTTTCACAGACGTCCAGGATGGGCGGGTCAGCGAGTTACAGGATCAGGACTAACCTCTGGTGCACTGTGGATCACGTGATCCACGATGCGGTCTGCCTATATCAACTCGGATTTTTGGATTCCTACTGTACAGTTTATCAGTTCAACTCGTACAACAATTTTACAGCAGAGCTTGTGGGAAAGTGCACGCCTTGCCGTGTAAAGAATAGAAAGGCCGCTTGAAAATGTTTAAAGTCCTGTGAACAATGTCTTCTGTGGGCTATTCTCTGACATACGGGGCTCACTTATGTATGTTGAACTTCTTTCGCACTGTACGTTACCAATCGTGCTAATCGGTGATGCGGGAATTATATTTTAAAATGTAGTCTTCATTTCATCTTGCAGACAACACCGATGGAATACATTGGAGGGAGGGGTAAGGGGGAACTATGATTGATTACATTATAAGGTGTAATTTAATTGCATATGTTTCTGTAATCAAGGTCAAGTAATGTACTATTATCCACTTGTGTACAGATTGTGTTCATTTCATCAATCATCTTTAGTCCTTCCCAAGTCATTATCTCTCAGTAATACAGTGTAAAAATCCACTGAGCACTTGCAAATGGCCCGATTTAATCGCTCCACTCCGCCGTTGTTTACAAACCACGAGTCATAACAGATAGTACGTGTTGACGTAACATAACAACTACTAATCGGTGGTGCAAAATTCAGTGTTGTAATATCTTAAATATCTAAAATGTATAACATTACATGTTGTGGAACTGGCTCCCACCACAGATATTAAAAAATACGAATAACCATGGAACAAAGGCTGCTAGTGGAGATAACCATGGCCCGTTGCCCGCTAGAACAGAGAACACTATCACCGAATTGTTCTGACATCTGACGTGCACGTTCCTTGCAGACAGAGCAGCTGATCACGCTGTGGGTCCTGTTTGTGCTCGTGATGTGCGGGAATGTTGTGGTGCTCCTTCTCGCCATACCTGCTCGTCGAGCAAAGCCACGGATGACCTTCTTTGCCATAAACCTGGCAATCACTGGTAGGACTTTCCCGCAACAGCACAGTTACTGATACAGCCCGAGGGGCGTTGGGGTGGATGGAGGTTGTTTCATAAGAAAAAGGGGACCAGATCCTCCTGTTCACCATCAGTGATCCCCGCGACAGAGACCCTAGGCGTTTGGTGTTGGATATCTCTTGCATAAAGGTTGTTTTTAATAATAACTCCAGGCATGCGTTACCATAATTGAATAGTTGAGAAATAGTTCATTTTAAGGCTGCCTTACGGTCTCTCCAATATTAGCCAAGTCAGCACAGGAGTGGCTCACTCGAGGCTCTACTGTGTATGACAAACTTGAATGTGGGAATCTAAAATCTGAGTTTCGTGCACTAACTAAAATATATTACATACTAACGGGAAGTACACGGCGTTGTCCGGGGTAAAAATATATTTCAAAACTTCTCTTAAAAACATAACGTATACATACACAAATACGAAGCTATTGTGAAAGCCCAGCGTGCTGTTTGTCTGTCCAAAAAGTGATAGAAAGTGGGGGGTAAATAGTTGATCGAAGAGGTTTCCGAAAATTGTCGACCCACCCCCCCTCAAAAATATTTTTACCCCCGCGTAGGCATATATACCTACACACCCTACATAAAATATTGTGAGTAGTATGTAGTGACTCTATAGTAGTATCTGACTCTGCATTAGTATCTGGCTCTACAGTAGTATCTACTGACTCTATAGTAGTAGTGTGCAGTAGAACCACGCGGAGACAAGGAATACTATAAGGGCTCTTGTCGTTTATTAAATCACTGTCACACTCGACATCCTACGCTCACACCAGTGTAGGTGCACTCTATCTCGGTCCTTTACCCCGGACACTGAATACTATTTGGGTCCTACCTTTGGCTACCCCTTGGGCTCTCTAACTCGTCTGCTCGGAGCGGGGGTTCAGCCAACACCGCTCCACGACGAGGAGAGAGAGACCCTCTTCCAGCCGACCCTTACTGAATACTACGGGACCCTATCCTCGGCTACCCCTTGGCTCTCCCACTCGTCTGCCCGGAGTGGGGGTTCAGCCAACACCGCTCTGCGACGGGGAGGGAGAGACCCCCTGCAGCCGATCCTTACCCTGGCTCCCCACAACGACCACGCCTTTGTCACAGGGTCCCCCTTAAGAACCCCTTGGGCGGCTCCTCCCCCCAACTCGGACCCGCCCCTGTTCCCGAAGGTGTTCTCCGAAGCCCCCTACGCAACCCAAAACGTTACGTCATCCTTGACTATCAACCCGCTCGCACCTTCTTCTGTTCGCCCCTTCATTGGTTACTCACAATACTCCTCTACAGTAGTATCTATTGACTCTATAGGAGTTTCTACTGACTGTACAGTAGTATCTACTGAGCCCAGTAGTAGCTACTGACTGTATAGTAGTATATACCGACTGTAGTAGTAACTACTGACCGTAGTAGTATCTACTGACCCGACAATAGTATCTACCGACTTTATAGTAGTAATTACTGACGATAATAGTAACTACTAACTCTACAGTAGTATCTACTGACTCTAAAGTAGTATCTACTGACTTTATAGTAGTATCTACTGACTGTAGCAGTATTTACTGACCGTAGTGGTATCTGCTGATTGTAGTAGTATCTTCTGACTCAATAGATGTATCTGCCGACTCTATAGTAGTGTAGAGGAGTGGGTGCAACCGAGATCAAACAGATGCTACGCTATGACCGGAGGTTGGCGCCTAGGAGACGGGAGATGGGGGGTGATGAAAAGAGATTAATGTGACAACTGTGGCGCCGGCCTGGCAGCAGCTTAAGTGGAAGCACATGAGGACTCGGGATGAGCAGGGGGATATAAGCGGGAGTGTGTGTGAGCAATGAAAGTTGTTGCCAGGAACCAAGAGTGAAGACATCTCGCCGCTGCCGCTCCAGCCTTCAACGGGACCTCAACACTCACACCGTCGCCGGGCGGGTGTTGGCTGAATTCCCCGCCCATGACAGACGGGTTAGCGGGTCTGAGGGAGCATAGGTGAGGGCAGCGGTGGAGATGCAAAGTTTATTTGTGCGAAGACGCTGTATGCGGAGTCGTTGAGTGCGAAGACGCTGTGTGCGGAGTCGCTGAGTGCGAAGACGCTGAGAGCAGAGCTGCTGAGTGCATAATAAGTGAGGTGCAGGATAGATAAGAGCGGGGAAAAGTTAAGTATATGTGACCGTACAGACAGTTATAGGAGTACCTATAACTGGCGCAAGAACAGGTGAATAAAGTGTAAGCAGGTGACTTGTTACAACGTGTCAGTGTGAGTAATTTTTGAAAACACTACATTTGGTGCCAGAAGTGCCAACGAACCTTCGCCGTCATGTCCAAATCGGCGGTGAAACATAAGAACCCACCTGTTGCGTCGTCCAACGACCACGTCGAGCAAGACGTCGCCCCTCCAACAGCTCCGGTTGCCGGAGCTCCGAGCACCCACTCCGACGACGTGTTTCAGTCGGCTCAAGAATGTGTGGTGAGTCCAGCAGCCGCCTCCTCCGCAGAGCTGGCTGGACGCCAAGACATGCTTCCCGCCACTGTGACTGGGGCGCTGGACCTTCCCGCCGACTTCCAAGGTTGAAGATGCTTCCAAGTTCCGACGGCTGCCGCCGATGCGTCAGTTCACTCCTGCAGGAAGAGATTGGACGGCTTTTCGTCGTCGATTCGAGGCCGCCTACATCTCGGTGGGATGGACATCCCGGGAGGCGCTTCAAGCTATTCCCATAGCCCTCGACTTGCTAGCTGCTTTATTTGCCCCCCGAGCTCGCCTACACCGAGATGGCCGCTATTTTTGATCCCCCGTCTAATATTCGAAGAAGATTCAGGCTGCGGCGACAGGGTGAGAGCCAGATGCCGTTGGCCTATCACAGTGCACTCCTCGCCTTGGGGCACACGGCTTTCCCTCGCATGGACAGAGTCGCCTTGGATTCCCTCGCCTTGGAACGGCTTCTCTCCTTGGCTCAGGAGTTTAGGTTCACCCTCGCGGTGGCAAAGGAAGACGACCTGACTTCTCTGCAGGTGGCCCGTGGCATCCAATCACATCTCAACCTTAAAGACTGGCCGGCGATTGTGGCCAGTGCAATGAAGCCGGCCGTGGACGAGCAAGCATGTGCCTCCTTTGCCCAGGGAACAGAGGAAAGGAGCGCTGCCCTGTGCCCATCAGCATTGGAATGGCGCCCCAGGCTGAGCCAGCCGCCTGGGCATTCTTACCGTACCTGCTACATGTGCGGCTGCCCGGGCCACATCGCCATCGACTGCCGCCGCAGGACTTGAGGGTTCTCGCCGCATCCATCCTCCGGCTTCAACACCTCCTCCCGCAATACACAGCCGAGTCTGGACGCATCAGACACACGGCCGTTTTTGTCCCATCATCCATCTAGCATAGGTCGTATGCGGACTCATCCTGTGGAATCTCATCCCGTTACGACTCGGAAACAGGGTACGGGGTTGTTAGCATGTTGGCCGCGCGGCGTCAAGCAGTGGAATGCACTGGCTCATCGCGTAGTGGGTGAAGAAGCAGGTTCCTCAACAGTTATGGGGTTAATCCAGGGGATCCAGGTCTGTCTGTTGATAGATACAGGGGCCATTGCGACTATGGTCTCCCAGGCTGTATTTCGTAAATTACCGTCGTCGTCCGATCCTCTTACCCCCGTGGAGAGCACTTGTGTGCAGGCTAACGGCGGGATTCTGGATATAATGGGCGAGATGTTGGCCTCTGTGCAAATTGGGGAAATCTTTTTTGAAGGGCAGATATTGGTTTCACGGACATTGGCCATGCCCTGTTTGCTGGGCACCGATTGTCTAGGCCAGGGGTGTATTGAATTACCATCGGGACAGTGGTTGCTGTTTCTGAACTCCCCTGGTCGACAGCCATCGCAGAACGCTGCCATTCATGCGATGGCTAGCCAAACCATTAAAGTGCCTCCGGGTTCTCAAATGCTTGTACTGCTGCGATTGCGCAAAGAGTTGCCTTCACCAGGCCTGGAGGAGGGGATCCTGCTAACCCCTTCTAACGCCGTGTCGCGATTTCCTTCCCTGGCGGGGGCTATGACTATTATATCCGCCGAGGGGATGCCGTTCCTACAAGTACTTAATGCGGGGCATGCGCTCGTTATGAGTCAGATGGGCACTGTCCTGGTGCACGCCTCGGTGGCCCAGTGTTTTGATAATGCAGAGCTAGCTCCTGGGTTCGCGGGAAGCTCAGTTACGCCGGCTCTTATACGATTTTTCCGATGTCTTTAGTACCAGAAAATTTGATATCGGGCGCACTCCTCTCCTCCACCATCATATCAATATGGGTGATCGCCCCCAATTTGGAATAATTCCCACAGACTTAGCCCCGCGGAGAAGGAACAGGTACGCCAGGCTCTGGATTACATGCTGGCAGCTGATAATATTTCCCCCTCCAATAGCCTGTGGGGGGCGCCCATAGTCTAGTGAAAAAAGATGATGGGAACTTACAATTCTGCGTGGATTTCCGCAAGTTAAATAAGATCGGTGGCATATGCATATCCCCTCCCTCGTATGGACGACTCGCTAGATTCGTTATCGGGCGCACAGTTTTTATCTACACTCGATTTACTGTCTGGGTTTTGTCAATTTCCCCTTGAGAACGAATCCAAACCAAAAAACACTTTTCGCACGCCCCAGGGGCTCTACCACTTCAATTGTCTTCCGATGGGCTTGAATTCGGCGCCAGCCACCTTTCAGCAATTAATGGAATTGGTCCTAGCAGGTTTGCAATGGGATTCTGCCAAATTTGTTTGCACGACGTCATCGATTTTGGCAGTACCTTTGACGAACACGTACAACGATTGCATTCGGTCTTTGAGAAAGTACGTGCAGCTAAGTTGAAATTCAAACCTCACAAATGTCATTTGTCTCAGACATCGGTTAAATGATTGGCCCATATGGTAAGTGCAGCCGGTGTTGCCACAGATCCGGAGAAAACTGCATGCATGCGCATGTGGCAGGTGCCCAAGTCGGTGGCGGAAGTC